CCTGTAAAAATTCTGAATTGTGAGATATAAACTCACAATTCTGAGGAAAGGAGTCAGAATTGCGAGATAAAAACTCTTCAGAATTCTGAATATTCTGACTTTTTACTCACAATTCCAAGTTTATATCTTGCAATTTTGACTTTTTTATCTGAATTCTAAATTTACCTCTCATAATTCTTTTTTTAAGGTAATTGCAACTTTTTATCCCACAATTAAATTTTTTTTCTTGCAACTGCGAGTTTGTATTTCACAGTCCTGTGTTTATATCTCACAATTCTGACTGAAAAAAAATTGCAAGAAAAAAGCTTCCATAGAGATGCACTATTCGCAGACACCGTTAATATATTCCAACAGTGAAAGTTTCCAAAAAATAGGGGATACCAAGATAAATCTTGTGTAGGCTGATTTTGTGCTCTCAAAATGGTTGCCCCCATGTGGCAACCTGCTCCATATATATAAAGGAAACTTTTATTAGGCTACTAACAAGACTAGAGTCTCTTCATGTCATCTCTTTTCAAAAGTACGATTAATTTTTTATCTACAAAACTTTTTAAATGAAGAACAAATTGCTTTTGTGTGGCTTTAAATCCTTTTCTAAATGAATATTGCCCCCTATTACATTGTGACTAACTACATTTAGTATGACTGACGACAATTATCTCACTAACTAGATCTGTTATCTGTGTACATAAGACAATATGCTAAGCACATTGGCCCAGACAAGAAAAAGAGCAGGCCGGAATGAAATGACGGAGAGTGACGAGAGCAGAAGACTCGCAGAAAGCAGGAAATCGCCAGGGAAACAGAGGTGACAGTGACTGTGAGAGAGGGAAAGGCTGTTTCTGCCTTGTTGCTCCAGAGATTCATTGCTCTCCTCATCAATCATGGAGGGCTGATGAAATTGTTCCTGCCCAGAGAGAGCCTCATGGCTCTCATGTGCAGAGTTGGCATAAATCCTGCTGGCAGGGAATAGAAGTGGATTATATTGTGCAAATTAATTGTTGCTTGAATTTGCCACTTTTTCTTCTTGCCCGTGGAGGGCTTGGAACATGAGTGGTGTATTGTCTTATTCTCAAGGCTGCCTTTTTTGTGTGTGTGCTGGCACATCTCCTAGATTCTTACCTTCTCAAAGGGATCATGTCAAGAATTTCAATTTAAAAAGGAAAAGGTTGAGGATTAGCCTCGGAGAGCAATTTCCAGATGTAAGTGTTCCAAACAGCAGGTCAAAAGGGACAAATCTTCATTATTTCAACCAGAAGCCCATTCTGGATTGCCAGCAGCAAGTACAAATCCACATCTTCACTGAAGAACAAACAAAGAGCACTGCCTTTGCTACCTGAAGATCACTCATTAATGTGTTCAGTTTATTTTTAGACCACTTCCCCTTTGTTTGATCGGGCCAGCACTGTAGACAAGCTTGGGAACGTCTCTCTCATTAGTGTTTAACACGGGACTCCTGCCGTCAAGGTCAATGGTACCCCTGTGCCTCGGCCACTGTTGGGAAGGCCTTGCCAAAACTAATGAGAGGACCACCGGTCAAAGAGAACAACTACTACTACTTCTTTATTTTCCTGCTCTGGTTCAGACAATTATTGTCCCTTGCCTGACCAAAAGGTGATTTTTTTGCACTTATTTGCTTGCCGTTAGTAGTAGTTGTAGCTAGATGTGACATTTATTTTATTTTTAATTGGATTAATTTAATCAATTTTGATGTTTATTGCTAGGCATTTTCAAAATAATTAATTAATTAATTAATAAAAATCGCAAAACAGTCAGTCAGGCTTGAACATGTGTAACATGAATTTGCCAGGCTTCATTCACTTCCAATTATTTTTAGCTTTACAGCTAGTAAATGTTTTTATTTTATTTTTATTTTTTTTAGCTTTTTACATCTTGTTATGCTGCTTGATATTTCAAACTGGTATTTCCTGTCATATCATTTTAATGTATTGTCGTAATTATAAACACTTGTTTGTAGCACAGTTTTACCGTTTACTGCACTTTTGTCTTCTAGTTATTTACCTAACTTTACGGAAGTCTCGCACATTCACAGAAAATTACTTCCGTGTTGCAGTATAAGGTGGATAAAATGACTATAAAATAAAACAGCTCATATATTATTTAGTTTGACCTTCTGAGTCTGACAATCAACGTTTTATAAAGGTCAAGCACCTAAATGACAATTTGCCCCAAAAAATAAATCCTCCAACGACTGCATATGCTATCTGTACGTTTTGAAGGCAGATCGATACTTCAATGGTAAATCAGCGATTGAGAGAAAGAAAAGGGGAAAATATCCCTTGCAATTTATTCACCATTTCAACGTGTTGAGAAATTATAATGTGCTGAATGCTACTAAACCTCATGAGCAGTGCGATTCTGCCCTCTAGAGGATCTTGCACAGAAAGTCATTTTGCAGTAGCAGCTACTGGCCGGATGATCATGTTGTCGTTGTCAACTCTTTAATTACATTTCTAAATTCAGTATGCGACTCAGCAGTTGATCTTAGTGGAAAAAAAGCTTACATGGCCTAAAGTTATTGTCAACGTGTCGTCTTGGACTGCCTATTTGAACTTAAATACATAGTGAAGATGCTTGGGGATTAAAGGAAACCACAGAGCATGAGCATGGTGAATTCTGGTCCAGTGTCTGCAGACAGTGGCGATGCGTGCCAGCCGCACATCAGACCACAGCTGTTGAACACACATGTCCGAATAGTGAACGAATCTTTCTTTTGAGTCGGATGTTTTCAGTGAATCAGTTCACAAAAGTGATGCTGCGATTTGACTGATAGAACAAAAAGTAAATTAATTGAATAGCCTAGAAGTAATTTTTTAAAATAAAACCTAGGACTGCTATAAATACTTGTATAAAAGTTTTATCAACGCAATAAAACTGAATTTTTTCAGAAATATAGGCCTAAAAGTAGGCTAAATGCATTGTGTTATATGTATTGGATTATATTTAGTTTCTAACTGACTTTGTGTTTATGAGCTAAACAGCGACACATTGCAATAATCGTTCAATCTGGACGGGAAACTTAATTAACAGCAATATGCGCTGCACGTGATGGCGCAATAACGTCATGACGGAAAAAGAATCACTCTAATGTTTTTGAACCGAGCTGTTCGAAAGAGCCGATTCGCGGAAATGACTCGGACTCACTACAACACACTTGTTGCATGTGTGATAAAGTTACAGCAAACTCCTCCCATGGACCGCCCACAGCGGGCGCTTCACAGCAGAGCATCTTGCTTTCTTGTCTCACCCGACGAATACTTAGTAGATAAACAGGGCTTGAGGGTTGAAGTTTTATTTTTAAAGGTAGCCTATGGGTTGTTACGGTAGCGTTCGTCGAAGTTGCGTTGAGCGTTTAAATGTGTGAGAACGGTCGCGGAAATTACAATGTGGCTAAACTAACTCTCAGTTAGGACTGAGAAGAACAAGCTGGTAAGTGAAACATTTACTCAGTAGTCGCTAGACTTGTAGATCCTGAAGGTCAATGAAGATACTCCAGAGAATCTGTAGAGAAGATCAATTAAACGTGTAGAACTTAATGACATTTGAACTACTAATTTTAACTTTCTGTAATGTGGTAATGTTAGTTACTGTTCTTAATGAATGTTATTAGGTAGTGTTACAGAGAAAAGCTCATTTTTTATAACATTTTCGAGTTGTAGAACCTAGTTGAAGATGATATAGTAGATAACTTAACTGGAACGTTTCATTCTGTGCCTCACAAATTGTGAGCTACCTAGACATCATTTTTAGGCATTGGTTTATAGGTACCTTCGGGGAAAGCATTTTTGCATTTTACTTAATGCAAAAATACTGGGTAGTTCACACAAAATTAAAACCATTTACTCACCCTCATGCTGTGGAACATGAAATAAGATATTTTGAAAAATGTCTATTCAGTGAAAGTCGGTGAGGTCCAGTTTGGTTGTGGATGCCAAATACCTTCAATGGGGTCCAATTTGGTTATGGATGCCAAATACCTAAAGTGTATGTGCAAAAATGTCTTCTTCAAAATATCTCTTTTATGTTCCACGGGGAAAAAAAAGTCATACAGGTCTGGACTGACATGTGGGTGATTAATATGGCAATTTTCACTTGTGGGTAAATTATTCCTTTAAATGAATTGGAAAGAACTGACTGTACTGAAGCATAAAAATACCATAATATGTTTGCAGATATTTAGGAAACATGCTGAGTTCACATACTTGTTTCTAAGAAAATCAGAAACGGCTAGTTCTTCTACTTTGAAATGTGCATTCCGTGTCAGAATGTTTTGTTTTGGTCTGTGTGATTCTGCCCACTGCCAGTTTACCCAAAGTATATCGACCCACCAGGTTGCCAGTTCACGGAAAATACAGCATATTGTAGCCATGGAAGCCAGCAAACAGACAGGGTCAGACATCGAAGATTCTAGCCTCAGTATCCATATAAAAAGCTCTATGACCAGAGGCATATTAAAACCACTTACATCAACTTACAGTGTAAGGCTCATCACCTTCCATTGTCAGTTCCATTCGTTCTTTTCGTTTGTCTTCAATCTGGCAACCTGTGTCTGCCACTCGATTCTGGACTTAACTGTTCTCATAGAATTACAATGAATATTTAAACTTTACTTTTATCATAACTGGCGTAAACGGGTGTTTGAAAACAAGACTTTAAAGGCCTGTTAACATCAAGAACAATAACTATATATGTATGTTCATGTATTTGTCTGATGTTTGTCTGATTGTTGGTCTGTTGCATTTCTATTGTACATCATAGCTTAATAGTACTTTTTACTAAATGTATTGTAATTGTTTTATTGTTATGTTAATATGTAATTTTCTTTTCTTTTAGGGTGACTATTACCATCTGTCTAGGGACTGCAGGTGAAAAATAGCCTTCTGGCTAATTCTGGCATATTGACAGAAATGTTTATTAATATGCATTGTCCCTGTAATAAATAAATAAATAATAGCATACACATGCTTTAAATGCACCAGCTCTTTAAAACTGGTTCATTTATAGTTATAGTTCTTGTTCTCGGTGTAAATGGCTTTTCAAAAAGTTGACATCGATTTTGAGAGTCCACTTAATGTACTTAAGCCAGGTCAGCAGTTGAACGCGGATGATAAATGAGGCTGTTTACTGTCCTCCGGTCATGCTTTGAGATGCTGCAGCCTTAATTGCATTACCTAACTGGCCTGAGTACTTGCTCATGTCTGTTATTAGAAGTTCACCAGTCAACCATCTCACCAGACAACCCAAGTAATTCACCAAAGCACTTGGTGAATAAATATACCAGAACTGAAAGAATGAGATTATACTTAAGGAGCCAGGCAGAAACGTGATGTCTTGGTTAGTGTGATTTATGACCAGAGGTGCCCCATAAGCTCAATTCATGCGAATTATGCATAGAGTGAATCAGCTGCAGTGGGAGTCTGACTTGTTTTTGGCCTCGTAATTAGCAGAGAGTGAATCAGCTGCAGTGGGAGTCTGACTTGTTTTTGGCCTCGTAATTAGCAGATGGTGAGTATGGATGCATAAAATTTTCATTCATGAATGTGAGACTGCGAATGAGCTAATTTTCTTGCAGCAAATGGAAGAGATTCAGTGCGCCATCTGATGTTACCATCTTCTTGCTGGGTGGGTAAAATACCAATTTAGCCCATCACAGGCTTTACAATGCAGCCTATAATTGGAGACATTGTTTGCCCTTTCATGGCAACATAGTTGTCGTTCCTGCAGTGTTTTTGTCAGTGTGGGAACAGGCCGAACCTATTATTAGGCAGATGGGATAAATATGTAAGTTTACAGTTGGTATCAGATGTGTGTGGGATCAAGTTGTGATGCCGTCAAGGGTGCAGCTTGTGAGCGAGACAGCTTGAGTCAGAATTCTGGGAAGCATTCGTGCATAGGAAACCAAGATGAGCGCTGTTTGAACGTGTCAGCATCTGATACAGGCATCTGGTTAACTGCATCTTAACTGCCATTTTCACGATTATCAGATACCTCTGTGCACGAGCATAGCGCAGCCATTGGTTCACCAGGAAGTCTCATGTCAGGCTGCACATCAAAGGAAGTGTACTTGTTTGTGTCGTAGACGTTCTGTGTGGCTTTCATTATGACACAGGCATCGATATAAATGAGTCACCGCAGCTGAACCATGTAAACAACTGGCTTTGCGGTTGTTTCGCATATTCTTTGCGTCACTCTTTCGGTGTACCTTGTGGGAATTTGTGCCTGTAACGTGACTTGATCTCTCACATTTGTTCTAGCACGTGCCTGCCCTCATCTCAACTAAACCATGGGATCATTACGAAAGCCCAGGCCCCGTTTCATGAGCTCGCCTGTGCTGTCCGACCTTGCCCGCTTTCATGCCAGCTCGCCAACACTGCAGCTGTCCAACGCTAGTGTTTGGAACAGGTGGGTGGTTCCCTTTCCCAAGGATGAGAGAGAGAAAAGGCATTGTTTCATTAATTGCCATGAGATTTGAGGGGTTTTTATAGACACAACCGAGAGTTTTTAAAGATAAAGTTCATTCAAAAATGACTAAGCTGTTGTTATTTAATCGTTAACTTCAAAAACTTTTTAAAATATATATACTTTCCATAGTCAATTTTATTTTTACATTTATCATGAATTATTAATTTATTAATATTATGACATTTTTGGAGGAGTCGCACCACATGACATTTTACATCCTGAAGCTGATCTTAGCTAAGCTGCTCTTAAAAACACGTGGCAAGTTCATGTGATATGGAAAGCTTTTAAATTATTTTCAAGAAAAATTAACTTGTATTGTTATAAAAACATGCATGACATGTTATTACGTTATTATAAGAAATGTAATCTGTTTTTACAGTATGTTGGTTTCATATGGGTTTGAAAAACTTTTATACCATTTTCAAGAAAAGTTTGAAAGGTTTGTATCTACTGACTGTCAGGTAGCCATTAAGTAAAAAGTAATAACATATTTTCATTATACCTTGAATGCATTTACATCTTAAACATTATTTTTAAAAAGTTAATATATTCTAATCTTCAAGGTAAAAAAAGTTATTAGACAAATATCAAGTATTATTCATTCATAAGTGTTATTTAATTTTTTTTGATAGTTGCATCACATGACATTTTACAGCCTGAACTAACTTTATCTTGTTATAAACAGGTCGAATATTTTTAAGATACTTGTGTTGATAAAAGCTGATAAAATATTATTAATGTAGCTATTTTGTTAAAGTTTATTTCTAAGAAATAATAATAATAACAAATTATGCCAAACTACTTTTCTTTTTAATTGTTTCAATTGTTTCTTTTCAATTCTTTAATGAGAACTTATTTTTTTTCTCTTATTTATTCATTATGATATCAGGACACTAACTGACATTTATAACTGTATGTCCCCCTAAACAAATATCAAAATTAAGCAATTTTCATTTTAAATTTTCATTTTATTTCAGCAGTTAAAAACATTCTCACGCATAGAGGTGACTGTAGAAGTCATTGTAGAAAAACATGAAATGTAATAAATAAAAAAATTAATCCAAATAATGACAATTACATTTTTATTTTTTGATAAACATTGATAAAACAAATGTAAAAAACATATTTAGCTTTGAAATTTGCTTTTAGGAAGCCCTGAACTTTAAACTTGAGTCAAAAAGGGCGGTGTTTACGGTCACTGTACCTCTGACTCAAAAGTGAAACCTTGTTTTTTCATATATGATTTCACACTTTGCATGCCATATTTAGTCTTTAGGGGAAAACCCCTTAGAGACACATTCTTTAAGGCGTTGAAGTGTAGGAAGCAGACAGCAGCCTTTGCCTTTACCACTTCCTTATGGAAATGGGACCTCTGCTGCCCCTCTCTCAGGAAGTGTAGAGCAGGATGTTAGTCAGAAGTGGTCAGTTGGACCGCGGGCAGTGAAAGTTTGCTGGCAAGCAGACAAAAAATGCTGACTATAGACACTAAAACAGAGAATTTCCCTGACACAGGTGACATTGCTGGATTTTGAAATGTTTTTACGAAGTCTTTATGCATATAAAGGGATGTTTTGCATAGAATTTTCTTAGCTTGCAAATCAGTGGTCAGGCCACTTGAATGAGGCCTAGTTTCCTGATTTCTGAGTCTTTTCTGTTTTGCAGTGTACAAACGGCTGTAATTAAAGTCTTCCAAGGTGGGGGGCTACAGGCCAATGAGCTCTACACCCTGAACGAAAGCATAAGGTAAGAAAGTAATACACAGAATTGCAGCCATGTATTCAGTTCACTTCCTATACAATGATTTCAAGTCAAGATTAGACATTTTTGACTCATGCTAGTTGGCAATGACCCAGAATACACTAACAAACACATAGCAAGCAAATGGCAACCACTCACAACACTCTAGCTTTGTGGTGGTGAGTTTTGTACAGGCAGGCAACAGGATTTTTACTCTTTTTAATTGAGAAAAAGTAAAACATTTTGTTTATGAGGGTGTGTGTAACTAACTTAGCATTTTACCTGTTTTATCAGGTGGCTTTTGAGGACCGAGCTGGGATCATTTATCACTGAATACTTTCAGGTAATATAGTTTTCAGTTCTGAAGACATAATGAAGTGAATTTCAAAAATTTTTTTGAATTTGATGTGAAATTATTCTCGTAAATATTCCAGGTTCAACCCAGCTAACAAAAATACATTTTAAGACCACTTTGCTAACTTTTTAAATGTTTTTAAAAATTTCATGAATGAAAATTGTATGCATCCATACTCACCATCTGCTAATTACGAGGGCAAAAACAAGTCAGACTCCCACTGCAGCTGATTCACTCTCTGCTAAAAACGTTTTTTCTTGGTTAAGCATTTTGCAAACATTATGGAATTGTTAGTGTTGAATGTTTTCTGAACATTCTGAAACGAGTAATAACATATAGGGTAAACGTACCTATTAAGCTCACCAAAATCTATATTGAGACATTTTTAGTGCACAAGATATTGGTTTCAGTACAAGAAGTTATGTTAAAATAAAATATTAATCTCTCACACAAAAAAATATTTTTTAATACAAAAGCATTTAAATTAAGATATACAGTGGGGCAAAAAAGTATTTAGTCAGCCACCAATTGTGCAAGTTCTCCCACTTAAAAAGATGAGAGAGGCCTGTAATTTTCATCATAGGTATACCTCAACTATGAGAGACAAAATGAGAAAAAAAAATCCAGAAAATCACATTGTAGGATTTTTTAAGCACACCCCTGTTCCCATTAAGCTCACATCATGTTTTATAAAAAAATATTGTTTATTTTAAACAACCCTTTTTAAAGAATACTTTAAAAATGTTTTATTTGAAGGTACAGAATCAATCACAAAAAAACTGAACACTAAAATCAAGCAACAAGGCATTCAATTTGATCAGTTACATATTCATAGTGAAGTGTCATTTAAAGTCCCCATGAAATCAAAATTAAAGTTTTTATTGGGTGTTAGTATCAATATGTTAGTCTTAAGGTTACCTATAAGGCAGTGTGCTCCAGAACGGTGACAAAATTCGCATTTAGAAGATATAAGCATTAAAAGTTTGCAGTTCGTCACTTCCGCCCAAACGGCTCAACGATTTTTTTGACGTCGCATCGTACTTCAGCTTCTCATCAAACTTTCTGTCCAATCAAATGCTCTCCAGAATCCGAAGCGCCCGCCCCCTACACTATAAATAGATGCTGAAACCGCAGCTGAAATTGGTCACTTGTCCACAGAATTAGTATTTTCTGTACAGTGAATGGCACGTAGTGCACTATATAGGGGACAGGGAACGATTCAAACCGTGTAAATATGCTTTCCATTGAGGAAAAAAAGAAGTCTGGTTTTGCGCTGTCACGCTAACCATCGCACACACACTCTGCTCTGGTCCAGAGACACGATAGCACTGAGTGGATCACATGCGCGAGTCGGCGCAGACCACAAAATGTATCGGCGCTATTTGAATTCTACACAGAATGCTATATTTTATAGCAATATGGATGAGATTGTGGCTGGCATACCCTGTCAAATGCAGCTTTACGGAGCTCAACGGCTCTAGCCCAAGCTGTGATATAAACGAACGCTATTGGCTATTTTAAAAAGGGGTGGGGCTGCTTGATATGTCCCGCCCTGTCTTCCTGTTTCAGTTAAAATGACGTCAACACATAGAGTAACGCTGCGTGTTTCTAAGCATTTCAGGGGACCTTTAAGCAACATCTAGACTAGTCCACGTTCAGCTATTGTAAGTAGTACATATTCAAAAATAAAATAAAACAAACCAATAAAACATTTAATTCATGGGGATGAACACAGAAACTAGCCTCATTATGAAGTCTCTTATTAAACGGATGTCAAGTTGTCTCTTAAGGCTGGAATACACTACATGATTATTTGCCCTGATTTTACACCAATTTACAGTCCGGAGAAGTTTATGCTAGTTGCCAAAGGTCAGAGCCAGTCTGCAGATTTGAGTCGACTGATTCCATAGAAAACCCCATAGTGTATGATGGACACAGACTCCGATCTTTTAGCTTCAGACTTTGATTCCATCCAGTCGGAGGAGATCAAACATGTTTGATATTTTCAGCAGATTTTAGAACGCATATTGTTTTCATTTGTCATGTGTCTCCTAGCAATAATGCACACATTTCTGTGTGAGTTTGTTGTGATCGGAAGGAATTTAAAGTCTGCAAGTGTGAGATCCTCAGTCGTTTAGTGTATGATGCCCTTTGTGTATGTGCCCTTTTTGTTTTCTTTTGTGACTATTTACAAAATCTGTAAGTGTATGATGTCTGGTGTTTTAAAAATCTGTTCACATTTTAAAAGTTGTTTAGTGTATTCCAGCCTTTAGTCGCTTCTTTCCTGGACGGATCCGACAGATTTCTGATGGCTCCGTCTTTGTATGGACGACATGCCTCTTTCATCTTTGGGCATAAACTATAGTTATGATTAGATTTTGTCATCGTAAAGCTGTGAAAATAAGTTATTAACCATTTTATAAAGATTAACTTAAAGTGACAACCATCAGTTAATTATTTAAAGTCTGTTTATGAAGTATTTACATAGACGGTCAATGTGGAAGAGCTTAAAGAGAGCACACTAAGCTTAATTGGAGCAGCAGCAATATTTAATAAATTTCATGTAATATTTATTAAAATGACAAGGTTTTGCTAAATAAATCATCTAGGTCATGTATTAAGTTCATACATATTTTAATATGAACAACTATTATTAACAATATGTATGAAATTATACTTTTTCTTATTGATGTCACACTGAAGCTGTGTGATTTTCATAGTAGTGCACCCTTTAAGCTCGCCTTACAATAATATGAAATCTTTAAAAAATTGCAGCAGCGTAAAACCACAGACCAGCAATAAACTGTAAATTTATAATATTATGGATGTAAAAGTACAAGCCAGTAATGCCTGTGAAGTAATATATTAGCGTAGCACACAATCTTATACAGCTAGTCAGCTAACTGGGTTCTGTAGCATCTGCGCTATGCTGCTAAAACTATCTAACTGTAATTATATCCCACTTCAAGTTCCAGGTTATAATATGCAAAAGTCTAAACATTAATCTCTTAATTTTACAGTAAGTAGTGAAATTTACCCAAAATAAAGGCTTAAACGTCTAAAATGCACATTTAAAGGGCTCCTCTTTTGGTGAAATTTTTAGACAGCTTTCAAAATGGCCGCCAAACAGTGTGAACACATGAAGACCCATATCTCAGTGTGCAATGATCTGATTGACTTGAAATTACAGGAGGTATGTAGTAACAAACACATCAATTGGTTAAGACATTAAATAGGATAATAAATTATATATATTTTTTATAATCTGAGTTCAAATATGGAAGTGTGCTTAATGGGTACGTGAGCTTAATAGGTACGTTTACCCTAAAAAATGTCAAATTAATGTATAAATAATGTTTTTGTGCTAATTTTTTGAGAACGTTATTAAAGACCAGAGAACTGTGAATGATATTCAGAACGTTTGTTCGTAACTTTGAGCGAACATTACCAGAACATTGACTGTTAACTAGAAAGTTTAACTGACAGCATTTTTGGAATTATGTTAATGTTCAGTTGTACTCTTTTATTTCATTCAAAAAAAATAAATCAAGGTTATGATGAGGCATTTACCGTGGAAGTGAATGTGGCCCATTATCAAAGCATTAAAAAGCAGAAATGTGAAGCTTAAAATTTTATAAAAGCTCTAATATTAATACTTAATGTTAAAATATCTATTAATTGAGCTGTGAAGGTATTTAAATCATTATTTTTACAGTCGTTTCAGGGTTTTATGGTATTATGTTGTTATGAAAAAATTCTAGGAAGCATTTTTTTTTTACACAAATCATGTTAACTCTCATATTGTTTATATATTGTGGCTGAACTATTGAAACAATAAATATTTCAGCATTTGCAAATTGACCCCATTCACTTCCATTGTAAGTGCCTCACTGTAAGATTTTTTGTGTGTGTGTGTGCTAATCAACATTACGCCACAAATGCTGTCAAATGAGCTTAACTTGTAATAAATCTGGGATATTCTCTAAAGTACCTGCATGACTCATTTTATCCAGGATCAGCTCTTGAATAAGGGTCTGACGTATTACACAAATCATGTTAACTCTCATATTGTTTATATATTGTGGCTGAACTATTGAAACAATAAATATTTCAGCATTTGCAAATTGACCCCATTCACTTCCATTGTAAGTGCCTCACTGTAAGATTTTTTTTGTGTGTGTGTGCTAATCAACATTACGCCACAAATGCTGTCAAATGAGCTTAACTTGTAATAAATCTGGGATATTCTCTAAAGTACCTGCATGACTCATTTTATCCAGGATCAGCTCTTGAATAAGGGTCTGACGTATATTTTGGAGAAGATTCAGCTTCATAACGGTGAGTGCTGAACCCATTTTATAGGTCTTATTGGTGCATTTGATGGCCTGCTTGAGCTCTAATAAGGTTTTATACAGATGTGTGTAATTCAATCGCTCCTTGCATTCTTGTCTCATTTCTCATGCCCAGATGAGACTCGTCTCCAAGCGGTGTCTGAGATGTGGGTGAGGTTTTTCACAGACATCCTGCCAACTCTTCAAGCTATTTTCTACCCCGTGCAGGTATTAAAATGATCTCACCTAGCATTCAAAGTAGTGGGTTGGCGTCGAGTTACCGACACTATGGTGACTGGTGTTTTTTGGCTGGGTTTAGGGTCAGGAGTTGACTGTGAGGCAGATGGCTCTGCTAGGCTTCAGGAACATGGTTCTGTTGAAACTTCCTGTGGAGAACATGTTTCAGGGCTCCTCATATCCTCCTCCAATCACACAGATGCTGCTGATCCTGCAGGTGAGCTCTTATGAGGTAATTTGTGCACTAATAATGTCGCTTTTATGATGCATCATGAACATTTCCACCACATCTGTAATTTTGAGATGGAAATTACATTTTAGGAAATGTTTTTGGTCCTGATAGCTTTAGAACTAGCATTTTGTTTGTCTTAGATGCTCAAAAGTAATTTGGCAACTTGAACAGAAAGGATGCACAATAAGTCATTAAGCACAACAAGTCTCTCATATTTTATCTCACACCCTTCACTGACATTGTTGTCTTTTCTCCTTGGTAACCAAGTACAGTAACATTTGAAAAAACGTTTAGGTGAAAAAAAAATGAGACACAGTCAGTTTGTGTAAAAAAAAAAAGTGTTAAAAAGCAGAAATGTTAAGCTTAACATTTTATAAAAGCACTAATTTTAATGCTTTTTTAAATACATTATTTTAATATAGTAACATATGAAAAAAATGTTCAGGGGAAAAATGGTTGTTGTAGAAATGACGCAACAAAAAATTATATAAATAATTTGAAAAATTAGACTTATTCAGACAAAAAGTGCACACATTCAGCAGGCAAATACTTATTCAATATTTATAGTATGAAAAATATTTATATAAATATCGTTTGTGTTTATTATATCTCTGTTGAGATCTTAATAATTCTAAAAATGTAATAACATTTTTAGGGTAAATCCTGAAAATTGTATATACGAAAATTTATATATAAATAGATATATAGGCCTCTAATTTAACCTTCATATTGTTATTAGTAATTAAAAGTAAAACTAAATAATAAAATTAAAAAATTTTAAAAAGCGATATATATATATATATATATATATATATTTAATATTAGTCTGGTAAGTAAACAAAAAATGTACTAGCCAATGGCAATTCTATTGCCAAGGTGTCCATAGGGGAAACTTAAACTTGAAAATGACAAATTTTGGCTTGGCAACTTATTGATATAAAAGAAGTTGAACTGCTAAACTTAACTACACAAAAATTTTAATTAATTAAAGCTAAATATAAATTTTTTTTGAATTTTTTTTTTAAATGACAAGCACATAAACTATAAAGCACTTAACAAACTAAAAATTTAAATGAAATCTGAAAATAAAAAAATTCAAAACAAAAAAAATACAATATGAATTGAATAATACTAAAATAACACGAGAAAAAAGTTGTCCATTTTAATAAAAATCAACCACTGAGACATAAATGTTATGCAAACATATGCGAAATATTGTTAATGCACAGGTGAGAATATGAAGAAGAGATATGAAGATAAATGAACGTTAGGAGAGTATTCCCTGAGTGCTGGTGTGGGAACATATACGGATCTGCTTTGTGCTGCTGTAATCTCAGATGAGATTTGAAGAGCCTCTATGAAACCAAGCACCTTGACCCAGCATTCGTTTTTCAAATACGGCTCCTCCATACAAAAGAAATTTGTCAGCTTTGTTCCAGAACAAGGCTGAGTACCGCAGGGATACAGTGTCATGCTTAAGGGCATAATGGTGATGAAGCACACTGATGTGTCATCCATTTCTCATTTACTCCCACTTGTCAGCTGTCTTGGGATTGAACCCAGATATTTAACTATTCATCTACCAGCAGTGATTGTTGGCTCTTTGTTTTGGATCCTTATTTTCATGATGTTCTTCTTTTGGGGCAGGGCATTCATGAACCTAATGGACCTACGCAAGAGTATTTCCGGCTCGAGAGGCTAGTGGACATGGTTATATCGCCCTACCTGAGTAACTACCTCAACATGAACCCAAGCAATTCCTCTTCAGGTGCTCTTTCTTTCTTTTCTTTTTTTTTTGGGGGGGGGGGCGCAGGGTGTTGTGGGTCAATGACATGATGCCCCTTCTTTGTCTGGGTCAATTAATGTAGTATTCATAAAAGCATTAACAATTCAATTTGTATAACTCAATACAATACAATAACTTGAATACACATTTATGATGAGCATAATTTAAATTCCTGAATAAAAAAATTATTATATTTTTTAAAGGGGGAAATCTGTCAGGTTGGTATAACTGTATAAATATCATACATAAAAAGGAATATCATGAAGACAAAAGCCTCATTAAAAGAATAATTTATTTAGTAGCTTGGCTTAACCTTTTAATATTATTTATTAGATTTTTTTTTTTACAAAACAGCTTCACTACTAATTAATGTTGTTTATTAGTAATTTAAAAAAAAACTTTTGTCCACTAATTTTAAATCATATAGTGTAACCAACATAAAGAAAAAAGTGCAATAATTATTGTAAAAAGCAGATAATTTGACATTTTTATAACAAGACAAAGTTAATTCATGTTGTTAAATGTCATGTGGTGCAACTTAGAGGTCTGCGTTCCTGTGGCTCTCCTGTGGGAACATTTATTTATTTTTCTCTGCGTATTTCCTACTGTTAACAGAAAAATGTCAAACAAATTTAGTATTTTGACAAGACGAATAAAAATAGCTAATAGGCCATTTTTGTACAACCTACATTTTTTTTTCTCTCTTTGCGACACTTTTTCCTATTGTGTTGTAAATGTTAAATGAATTTTGTTCATTAATAATTCATGATATTTGAATAATATATTTGCATAAAGTTAATGTTGTAAAATGTCATGTGGTGTAACTCCCCATACATGTTAAAATTTATAATATTTGTAAAAATGCCTTTGTACCTTGAAAATATATTATTAATAATTAAATATATGTAAGTCAGATAGCAAAAAATAAAGTCATATGGCGGAACCAACTTGCAGAAATTTTTTTGGAAGTCTTAAGATCGAGATGTCATTTAAAATGTTAGATAATTTTACCATTTTATGGCAAAGTTCGTTAATTTTGTAAATTGTCATGTGGTGCAACTCCCTATAAACTTTATAATTCATAATAAAAACGTAAACATAAAACCATGTCTGTATTTATTATCGGAGAAATGACAAACAACAAGCGCTACTCCACACTGCTCAAAACTTGCGTTTGAATCATCAGTGGCAAATTCTTTATATATAAAACACATACTTACAGTCTGAGAGTCAGAACAGCCGGCATTGTAGTCTACTCTACTAGGATCATGAAACAGTCCTCCATAAAATGTGCTGCACACATCTGAATATTTGGGTTGAAGTGTTCTGGAAAAGTGTTGTAACTACAACTTAACCACTGATTTCTAGTCGTGTCCTCTTTTGGAAGACCAAACAAAGTAGTTTCGCTTTCACAACGAAACACAGCGTCACACACGGCGGGAGTAGACTCACTAGAGTGAGCGGAGGCCTAGAGTGAGTGGAGGTGGGCGGGCTAGAGTGAGCGGAGACCTAGAGTGAGGAACGGCTGGCAGGCTAGAGTGAGTGGAGGCGGGTGGGCTAGAGTAAGCGGAGGCCTTGAGTGAGCGGAGGTGGGCGGGCTAGAGTGAGCGGAGGCCTTGAGTGAGCGGAGGCCTTGAGTGAGCGGAGGCGGGTGGGCTAGAGTGAGGAACGGCTGGCGGGCTAGAGTGAGCGGAGGCCTTGAGTGAGCGGAGTTATTTTATTGATGATTATGCCGCATGACATTTTTAGAGTCAATAAATGTGTTTCTTGAAAATAATATAAAAGTTTATCAAACCCATGTGAAGCCAACAGATATTCATATGTCACTGACCCTAGTGTAACTTATGCATGTTGTAGTCAGCATTAAATCTAATCAGCGTCATAATCGCTTCCCCCACAGAGGATCATCTGGAAGGCCTGAGGTTGGTTGCCACTCCACACCTCAGTCAACCTGAGATTATGGTGACACATTTTGGCCACGAGTCTTTCCTGGCACCTCTGATCGAACACGAGGGTGAAGCCTATTTGGAAAGGACCGGTGGTGTCCGACGTCACACAGTGGCCAATGTGCATTCGGACATCCAGCTCCTGTCCATGAAAAACAGGATGTGTTCAGAAAAAGTGGAGGTCAGTGGGGCGGCCAGGATGACCAAGACAGAGAGCAAAAGGACACCTAAGACTTTCTGCAGTAAACCGGCCTTTTTTGACTCCCGGCCAGGTGGCGTGGAAATCCTCCGAGGGCAAAGCACTGCAGAGATGAAGTGTGGCCTAACTAGTTAAAAAAAACTCTCTCTCACGCTCTCAAAACGCCCACTGAGATCTTGTAAAGTTACGATAACTGAGACAAGCTACAACGTGCTCGCTTAATACAATATGGACTCTACTGCTGTGGAAATGTGAGCTGTTTTGTGTGCTAAATACTGTTTGGCCTGTCAGTGTAGCCTGTTTTTAAGAGCTTAAGAGTGAGGAGGATGGTTGAAGAAGCTTTCACTTCAGCCGTTTCTTGTAAAGCACACCAAAAGTCACACTTTTTTCTGTTGTGGAGGTGGTAAAACGGTGTGAAAGTATGCTGGTGAGCAAAAGGTTTACAAAGGTACAGCAGAAACCATACGAGACAAACTAACGGCACTTCCTTACAATTAATGTCTTTACATTCTCTTTCTTAAGCGGTCTTACCGTTTCATTTCTTTGTAGTGGAAACTAAACATGCTGACATGAAGAAAAATAAGATTTTTAGTCTTTTATGAATGTTTTGTTTTATTTTATGAAATTTTAATATTTAAAAAATTTAATTTAAAATAATTAAAAAAGAAACTTAATTCAATGTGTGTGTGTAAAATAATGTATATTTTTGTAGTAATAAATTTAATGAAGAAAGTGTATTTGAAATCATTTGGGCATTTGATTGTTCATTCAACACTGGACTGTACGTCTAAGGTTTGAGTAGATGTCTTTAGAGGTTCATGTGAGCATTTCTTTGCGGCTCTGGCATGCAGTGTAGAGTTCCTTCAGCAGATTAGCTGTTAAGGAGCTTTAGATGCTGTTTTCAACGTCAACATCACCTCAGAATACGTTTGTGGTGGTGTTTCAGCATGTGAGCTGCCAAAGAGCTTTATTGCGAGTGTACTAAACAAAGACTTTTGACCTTGGAGCAGATGGTTATGTGTTCATCAAAGACAATGTTTTGTTTGCTTTTTGGGATTTTATTTTGTTATTTTAGCTTGGTTGTATTCGTAATGTGAATATTTTAAAACTTAATTTAAATTTAAATTTAAGAATTTGGAATGAAAATATGCTTAATGTCACAACAATACAAAAAAAGTCTTAATGGTCAAAACAAAATAGCGTAAAAAAAATGTGTGTGTGCGTGCGCATGTGTGTATGTATGTGTGTATATATATATATATATATGTATGTATGTATATGTAAATATCAGCTACTGTTGTTTTTTAGATATGGCAGAAGGAGCCAGACTCATTGAGGAGGTTCCTCTTCTGACTGCCACTGGAAGAAAGTTCACTGTAATCTTATTTAAGGTGATTAGTTCAGTAAGGCTTTCCTATTAAGAAGATAGGGAAATTGTGCAGCCGAAGGGCATGAATACATGGGGAAGTAAGAATAAAAAAATGTACTGGTCTTTAATGCCATCTTCTGGAAGGTTTACTTGATTGCAGCTCACAGTCAATAAATAAAAATGAGTTCCTGTTTTTTTACATTTCCGTTTTTAGTGTTAAAAGCTGAGAGTAGAGTACTATATATATATTCAAATTTGCAAAATATTCAAAAACACTACAACAGCTACAATAGCACTTGGAAGTTTAGATGTTTGTTTAATACAGTGGTGTACAAAATTATTAGAACACTAGTATTATCACCAGCTAAAAAATGGTTTTAAGTCAGTTCTGCTGTAGTGTGTCAGTAGGAAACATCAGTTTACATTTCCAAACATTCATTTTGCCATTAATTGTAATAATCCAGTGAGAGTTTTGTTTGCACAAGGAGTCTGACAACAGCCAGTGCTTTATTACAATTAATGGCAAAATGAATGTTTAGAAATGTAAACTGATGTTTCCTACTGACACACTACAGCAGAAGATAGAAATAACTGACTTAAAAACATTTTTAAGCTGGTGAAAATACTAGTGTTCTAATCATTTTGTACACTGTATCTCTTAAATCAGATGCTACAGTGAATATGACTACATTTTGTCATTCTTATATTGCATTTTGTCTTCTTGTTGTTGTTATTATTAATCAATAAAATAAAACAGCCCATTTTCTATTAAGTTTAGTGGCATTCTTATTCTTCGTATATATAGGCTATAGTTTTGGGTCAAATTTAACCCCAATTTTAAGAACCTTTCAGGTTTTGTTTGTTTTAAATATTAATTACATTTGACAAAAATAGTTCAATTTTTTTTTAGATTTAGCCCCTCAGGTGTCTGAATAAGTCGTCACCTTTTTTTCTAGCACTTTTTTTTTAGACCGTAGTGCCATTATTTAGCTCAATTCAGTTCTGTGTTGGTTCAGTAGATCAATAACATCGTAAAGTTCATCAATGCGTACAATGGGACTAAAAGCCCACATTAGGATGGTTAATAGTGACATTTTCTTTTCATTTCCTTTCAACAGGGCCTCAATAGTGATTAGCGCATTAGAGACCCAATCCAGCAGATGGCGCTCTTTCCCAATCATCTCCCAAAAGCGTCGAAGAAGCGTTCCTCCCGCCGCCGCGCAGAGCAACAAACCCAAGCTGGCGTACTGCACGCGAGATCAACGCTCGCTTCCAAAATAACATCCCACTGCAGCCCACATCACATCTGTGCTTTAATACCGCGTCGCGTTTGGAGACATTTGGAGCGGATACAGCGGAAGTGTCGCAGGAGGAGCAGCAGAACTGCCGTTATTCATTGAAACCCCTCGGTGAAGTCAGACACGCTGATGGCGGCGACAGTGGAGGAGCTCTACCGTAACTACGGCATCCTCGCCGACGAGAAAGAGGATCTCAGCAAAGTAAACAAAGCCTCATATCTCTGTGTTGTCCGTCTGAAGGAAAAGTAGTCGTTAGATATTCAGTTTGGGAGGGGTTTCATTCATATAAAGGCTATACGCGGCCTCCTCTACGTAACGTTACTAGCATATTAGCGCTAATAGCTAACTGGAAAGGTTTTTTTTTTTTAGTAAGTAAGCTAACAGGGCCATGTGTGAGCTATTAGGGCAGCTGTGCATACAGGAAGGGTTTGTTGCTTTTGTGTCTGATAAAATACGTTTAGTTAAATTTGAGGTTTGTCAAAGAAAAAGCTATCACGTTTAGCGAAGGCTAATGTTACGCTGTGTACGTAATGCGTTTGTGAATGTGGGGTTCCGCAGTCCTGCGCACAGAAATACTGATGAATGATTAACAGCTTAGGATAAGCTTGCATCAGGAAGGATGAGTGAATTTACATGATGCAAATATGGTAGTTTTTCCTTATTTTGGGAGCATAACATCTGATGTTAAGGTATGGGGTGTAATATCAAACGTAATATTTAATAGGGTTGCAAAATTCCGGGAATTTTCAAGACTGAAAACTTTCCATGGGAATAAACTGGAAATTAGCAAAATTGCAGGAACTGGGGACTTAAATGTAGTTGAGAGAAAAAAAAATCTTGCAGCACAATCTTGGTTAAAACAACCAGATTTAATGCAATTAGAATTTCTACCCTACACATTGCTTAATTACATGCACACTGCTTACTGCAGGGCTATTGAGGCCACACCCCCTGCACTCTGCTTTCCTCCATAACATGAACAGATCATTTCTTAAAGGTACTGTATTTAGGATTGACACGTAGGGGTTGAACTAGGTATTGTAGTCCAAATTCAAAATATTGGAGTAGAGGTCGACGGGGCCTAACATGCTGAGTCCATTCGGGCCATTTATTAAATTTTTTTTACAAATCGGGCTCAGGTAGGGGTGTGCGATTATATATCGTCTGCGGTAATATCGTAATTGTTGTTTTAACGATGTGCGATTTTACATTATCGAGTATTTTGCAAAAACCATTCAAAACATCCCTACAGAGCACACGCTTACATTACGTGAAGTCTAGACTAGTGCGTGTGCGCATTTAGTGTGTTTTCTTTCACTGCATGATTCAGTCTATTAAAATGACTTTAGAATGATCACAAATTCAAGACATGATGGCAGAAAATTTATATATTTATACCACTTCATATAGTTATTCAATTTCACACGAAGAGTGCAGTTTTTCTCCAAAAATTACCATGATTACAAACGTGACATTGAATTCTATAAACAATAAGTTAAGAGACTTATGTTTTAGACACCATATTGCTTGTTTTTGCTCTTTCGCCAACAAAAATCATCCCGAAAACAGCCACTGCTGTTTTGTGTCTCTGAGCAACATGACGGTGTTTCGAATGAATCAACCGTTTAAATTATTCGGTTCAGTCGCAATGACTCACTTATTAACAGTGATTTGCTGCCACCTGCTGGCGGTTTTAATTTCAAATTTTGGCTCTTTTTTTTCATGTTTTAAATCATTTCAAATATCAGTATTCAATGTTTTATTTTTAATATATAAAAACATTATTTATGCATTTGTAATTGCATGTTAAATGCATTCATGTCTTGCATTAAACAAAATACATGTGTAAATACATCTAAATGCCACTTCAGATGCAGCATCTGTGTTGATTTAATTTGCTCGGTAACAGCCCAAATGTCTTATTATTCTAATTCACTGATTAAATGTAAGAATTTGACTCAAAAGGTAATGGACACTTTTAGAAAAAATGACTTTATAAAGGTAAAAATGCCCATATAATGCAAAAATCTGTTTAAACTTATGAAAAATGAATTTCTATCAGTATGAACTGACCACCACACAGAATATGAAGAATATTAAAAACATTAGGAGTCAGCTGTCTTCGGCAGTCCTTAAGGTACAAGCACAATAACACACTCAGCAAAATATCGTCTAATTATCGTTATCAATAAAATCCCAGAAAATATCGAGATATAATTTTTTGTCAATATCGCACACCCCTAGTAACAGCATTGTTTTTGATGGGACTGTTTGTTAGTACGACTTTCAGATGGAGCTGCATTTACTACACAGAGCCGTAGATCACTGACAAGCTACTCAAAATTGCGTTCAAAATCACAGTCGATTCATTGCCGATTTTGAACGCGACTTTGAGTACCTTGTCAGTGATCTACGGCTCTGTGTAGTAAATGCTGCTCCATGAATTAATTAATACATTTTAGGGGTGTGATGAGATCTCGCAAGATCCGATGTGTCTCGCGAGTAGTGTTGGGTAATGAAACCCGGTACCAATATGGCACCGGTACCTATGTAACCGGTATGTACTAGAACCAAATCTGAACACAGATTTCGGTGCCTCATTTTGGTGCCATGCCTGAGCGATCGATTGAATTATTGTCCTCTGGTTCTCCAAAAACAGATGTAAGAAGCATCATCACTGGCACCGCATGTGAAAAATAATTTCCCGGCTGAGAAAATGCACGTGAACTCAAGTCGGAAAGCTCTAATAATACAAATCTTTGTAGTAACGAGAGTGTCCATGTTGTTTTCACATTCCGACTTAAAAGCACAACTCGGGAAATGAGAGCATCCGAGGAGCGCGTGAATGCAGTAATTACACTTGCTCTGATGGCAGCAGGTATCCTTCCGTTAACTAAGCTAAACATGCTTAAATTAAAATGCTAAACTTCCCTTGTATTCACATTTATAAACCTGTTATCCAACAAAAGAGAAGATTAACCTTTTTACTCCACAACACCAGTCAAATGCTTCCTTTTATGATCTGATGAGGCTTCTTGTCACAGAATGAGGCAGAAAATATGTTCCATATGCTACTTTAAAAAGAATACATCGATTAGCAATAGATTATAAATTAGGGTGACCATACGTCCTCTTTTCCCCGGACATGTCCTCTTTTTGGACCTACAAAAATGCGTCCGGCCAGGATTTCTTAATTGCCCAAAATGTCCAGGATTCGGCTGTTTTCTTAATCCCACTCCCGCTGAATCTCTGACCATTGCCGCCTGCTCCCGCAACATGTGTTTCGCTCCCACGATTTTCGTGTCCACTCCTTTAAACATTCTAATATTGTGTATAATTCTGGCGCATCAGGGAGCCGCTCTCAGGATGCGGTGTCTTTAAATATTTTTGAATGAGCGTTTGCGCTGTTTACTTTAACTTTTGATTTCGCGTTCACACGCACTCTGTGTAAAGGGAGCATCTTAAAAGATCAGATATTTGTCAATGAGCTCAGAATCTGTTGAGCAGCAAATACTCCAGCATGGTCTTGTCAGTCATCTCTCCTTATTCTCGACCTGTGATCAGTCAAAGCTGACTCTTGGTAGCTCTTGTTGGATGCAGGGTTGCCAAGTCTGCGTTTTTTTGCACCGAATTGGGCTACTTTTAAACTGTTGCCATGGGTTGATTTTCCCAAGTGGGTTAAAGGTTTGAAATATTGCATAAATTACATTTGACTGAAATGCTTGTATTGTACGGTGACGCATTGCTGCCGCACACATTATTTTTTCCACTCAATTATGTCGTTTTAACGACATCTTTTCTCGTAATAACGAGATGTTTTCTCGTTAAAACGACATCTTTTCTCGTTAAA